CCTGGAAGCCCCCTCCCAGGGGAGCCCCCCTTCTGCCCCACCCCAGGCCCCCAGAAGGGAGGGAAGGGTTGAAGGAGTTCAACCTGTTTGCAGAAAACTGTGGGTCCCAGACCGTCACAGACCAGAGCTGGGACCCGCGCCTGTGGGCGGGTGTCTGCAGAGAAAGCCGAGGCCTGAGGCGGCCCCTGCCCAGGCCCCACTCTCCCCCACCCCCCCACCTGCTGCACCACACGAGCCCTGGAAACTGGAGCCGAGGCCCAAGTGCTTTTATTATCACAGACAGCTCGCATCACAGAGCAGCAGACGCAGGACGGGTGGCAGAGCCCCCACGCCCACAAGCCCCCAGGGCCGCTCGGTGCCTCCTGCCCCTCTCTCCTCGGGAGGGAGGAACACGTAGGCCCCCGGAACTGTGCACCCTGCTCCCCGACACCAGGCGTTTCTTCCCAGGTGTCCTACCGACCGGGGTGGTCTCCCCGGAAGCGCCTGCCGTCTCCCAGGAGCTGGGCTCGGGCCGGCGTTCCTCGCGGCCGTGACCCCGTGGGCCGCAGCGCTCACAGGTCCATGGTCCCCTTCGCTTTGAACTTCTTGGCGGACCGCTCGCTCGACCGGAGCTGGAATTTGCTCCCGTGAATGTAGGAAACGAAGCCGTCGGTTTCCACGGAGAACACACAGCCCAGCTTGGGGATCACTGCGGAGCAGAGACCGAGTGGGGGCCCGGCACAAGCCCCCCTGCTGCAGTCCTGCCCACGAGGTTCTAGAAATGAGCTACCAGGAGACCGGGCTGGCGGGTCCCCCTGCACAGCCAGGTCACTCACGTCCTAAACAGAGCTCAGCCCCCACGGTCAGGGCTCAAGGTCAGAGCCCCCCTCTCAGCACCAGGACCTCCCAGGGCAGTGCCAGCCCAGGTCCCCCACAAACAGCTTTCAGGTGGCTCGGGCTCTGCGCTTGGGGGAAAACTGACCACGCTCCGAGGTGAAAACCAGAGCGAAAGAGCCGCAGGGAGACGGGCGGCAGCGGCGGGAAAAGCCAGCTCAAACATTAAAGGAACCGCCGGCCGGCGTGGCTCAGTGGTTAAGTGTCGACCCATGAACCAGGGGGTCAGGGTTCGACTCCCGGTCAGGGCACGTGACCCAGTTGGCAGGCTCCATCCCCAGTGCGGGGTGTGCAGGAGGCAGCCGATCCATGATTCTCCATCAATATTTCTTTCTCTCTCTCCCTTCCTTTCTGAAATCAATTAAAAAAATATTTTTTCAAAGAAAAGTAACATTTATAAAAAAAAATTAAAGGGAACCAAACCCCCACTTGTGGTTTGAACTTTCCTGTGCCCGTGCGCGGTTCACGCCTGCACCGTGACTAGCGGGGGGAGCTGGGAGGGGGGCTCACAGGCCTCCTGGACCCAAAGGCTGCACCGGCAAGGGGCACAGCTCCCCGCGCCCCCAGGGGCAGGG